GAAGGAGGAGGAGGAGGAGGAGGTGGAAAATGAAGAGGAGGAGCGAGAGGTGAAGAAGGAGGAGGAGGAAGAAGGAGAGGAGGTGGTGGAATGAAAAGAAGAAGAAAACGAGGAAGAAGAGGAGAGGGGAACAAAAAGAAACAAAGAAATGGATCTAGGAAAAGCAAGGGAGGTGAAACAGGACGCAAATGATGGGAGGGGCGCAGAGTACACCGTAATTAGGGTTTATAATCTGGTTCCACAAAAAATGGATTGTGATGACTTTAATGACGATGGTGACGGTAATAGTGGTGGTGATGGTGATGGTGATGATGATGATGATGATGGTGATGATAATGATGGTGATGATAGTGATGATGATGATAGTGATAATGATATTGATGATGATGCTATTAATGATGGTGATAGTGATGATAATAATGATGACAATGACGACGACATTGGCGATGATAAAGATACCAACAATCCCATCTCACCACACCCATTTTCCATCATCACCATCATCACCATCACCATAATCCCCCCAAATAATCCAAAACTCACCTTAATTTCCCCGGTCACGAAGACGCACCGGGGCAGACACTTGGCCTCGCCCCCTTGCGAACAGGAGCACTTCTTCTGGCACCCTTCAGTCCAGTCCTGGCCCACGCCGTAGCTCACGTTCTCCGCCTGGCACCCCTCTGGAATAGTGCCAGTGCCAACAGGCGATCAGTCGGAGGGTTTGTGGTGTTATGCCGAAAATTTTTTTTTTTTTTTTTTTTAATAATGGTGTAAATGTTAGTATTTATTGTTTATTGTTTACAGTTACTGATGTTTTTTTTTTTAAGTAGAATTTAGCGGCATCTTTTTTATTTATAGATTTTTTTATCATTTACCTTTTATTTTTTGCTATTTTTTAGTATCATTATTATTATCATTTTTAGTTAAGACTGAATGCACTTTTATTCATTGTATGCCTTTTATCCTACGTTTTTATAAGTATTTTTTTTCCAGGAGATACGGTTCCATGTTTTTGTTTGCATGTTATGGTAGTGTATTGGCTTTTACGTAGGTCTATTTTTTTAATAGTTTACTGGCATTTTTTGGAAGAACCAAAACCCCCCAAAAAAGAAAAGAAAAGAAAAAAAATCTCAAAATATATCTAAATACCAAAAATATATATCTATATCTAATATCTAAATGATATCAAATAATATATATAGTATATATATATATTTCCAATCATTCACATGTCTTCTTCTTCGTTGCAGATTGCACCTCGTCATAACCTCGATCTTGTCATTCATGAAATCATAATTACTCACTCCGTAGTGAGAAAGTTCATCAGCCTCAAGAAATCATGCACAGAGTATGAAGCACGCATGACGCGGCGACGGTCTGCAACGCCTTTGCAACTTTTCAAAAAAAAAAAAAAAAAAAAAAAAAAAAAAAAAGAAGAAAAAAAAAGGAAGAAAGAAAGAAGAAAAAAAGAAAGAAAAGAAGTAAAAATAAATAAATTAAAAATATATATATGTATTTGTATATATGTATATATCTCAGAAAATTCGAACTGTCCTTCACTGGGTATTAGAACGAGGATTTGACAGCCATAATTATGTGCTGAAAGAGGAGAGGAAGGAGGAGGAGGAGGAGGAAGGGGAGGAGGGGGAGGAGGGGAAGGAGGAGGAGGAGGAGGAGGAGGAGGAGGAGGAGGGAAGAGGAGGAAGGGGAGGAGGAGGAGGAGAAGGGGAAGGAGGAAGGAGGAAGAAAAGGATGAGGAGGAAAAAGAAAAAGAAGAAGAAGGAGGATGAGAGGAAGGAGGAGGAAAAGAATAGGAAGAATAAGAAGAAAAAAGTAGGAAGATAAGGAGGAGAAGAAGAATAGAAAGAACGAGATAAGAAGACCAAGAAGAGATAAGAAGAGGAAGAGGAGGGAGAGAAAGAAAAGATAAAGAGATAGAGAAAAAAAATACTAGTAGCTACCATTAACCCCCCCCCCCTCAACCACAAGGCTATATATTTTTTTTTCTGCCAAAGACCACTCAAAATTCACCACCACGCCTTCCAGTACATGAAATATAATCTCATCTGAAGCCAAAAAAAAAAATAAAATAATAAAATAAATAAATAAATAAATAAATAAAATAAAATAAAAATAAATGAAAAATAAATGAAAATAAAATAAAATAAAAATAAAAATAATAATAATAAATAAATAAATAAAAAATAAAATAAAAATCTCGATGAAACACCCATTATACCCCACCCCCTTCCCCCCTATTCATTCCCCCCCCCACCCACCCACCCATCCCCAGGGCCCTTCTTCCATCACCACTAAGGCTGTCTCTCCCGTCGCTTCGCAGTTGGTTGACGACCTTGTTGGCGTAAAGTGGCGTGGCGGTGTCTTTGTCGTCGCTGCCCACGGAGATGCTCCTGCAGGAAATGACGGGGTCGCTTTCGTGAGGCTAATCACCGGGGGTCGTGGCGGTCGTCTGCTCGCCCCCCCCCCTCTTTCGTTAGGTTTGTTATTTTGTGTGTTATTGCTGTTAGAATTGGTATTATATTATTGTTATTGCTACTGTTATCATTGTGGCTATTTTTTTTGTTATCATTGCCATTTATTTTTGTTTATCATTGCCATTTATTTTTGTTATCACTGTTATGATTGGTAGTTTTATCTATTTTTATTATTATTGTCATCATTATCTCTATTATTAATTATTGTTATTATGACCGTTATTACAATTATTATGATTATCTCAAATTTACATAGTTAAGAAAAAATCTATTGGCATAAAAGCTCTATTTCCCCCCACGTAAAAAAAAACGAAGATACGTACTCTTAAAAAAAACACTAATAATAGCAATAACATAAAAAAAATAAATAATGAAAATTCCCTCCTCAAATAGGGGTGCGTCTAATATACCCATGTGTCATTCCATACCCCTAAAAAGGGCATGACGAGATTGAGAAATGCCAGCGAGGGTATGCCAGTCACGGTACACATCTATGGAGTACCCGCAGTTACTCTTTCCCTTATGTGGCATCACTTCCTGTAGTTATTACTTTAAAATCTCACATAATCTAGGGAGTGAGATGCAAACATAAAATAATTGCGACTTGTTATTAGAGAAAAAAAAAAGTTATTCAAACCTTTTCCTCCACACGCAACAATCAACCTAATTTGATACCGTAATCTAAGGGAAGACGGAAGGTACAATTACGAGATAAAATAACCACAAAGGAAGAAGCGACAACATTGTATTACGAGCGGTTATAATGACTAATGACTGATGACTTGGCAGATAACGCAAAGGTGCAGTTTGTCATTTGCATTATGCGAAGAATAGCTATTGTCGTCGTGGTGGGCTGGGCGATGCGCATTTGTCTTCGCGGAAGCACCTATGCGAATTTTGGCGGGAAATTCAAGGCAGTTCTTTTGCCGGCCTTGAACGCAAGACTGAGTACGTGCTTGCTTTGTTTTGGCTGTGTATATTTATGTTTTTGCTGTGTGTGTATGTGTGTGTATCTACTTGCGTGTCAATCTCCGGGTGTAACATGACGTATTCTGCATCACCTATACGATTTTTGGCGGGAAATTCAAGGCAGTTCTTCCGTCGGCCTTAAACGCAAGACTGAATACGTGCTTGTTTATTTTGGTTGTTGTGAATATTTATGTTTGATTGGCTTGTGTGTGAGTTGAGTGTATGTTGAGTGTGAGTGTGTGTGTGTGTGTGGTGTGTGTGTGTGTGTGTGTGTGTGTGTGTGTGTGTGTGTGTGTGTGTGTGTGTGTGGTGTGTGTGTTGTGTGTGTGTGGTGTGTGTGTATGTGGCCGCTTTTATGTGCGTGTCTACCTCCGGGCGTGTACACATGACCGTATACCCGCATCACCTTATCCTTATCCATCCTACTTACCCAGGGTGTCGAGGGATAGCTTGGCAGTGCCTCCAGAGACGCCGGACCACTTGACGTTGTACTGAGTGCCAGGAACGAGACCCTCGAGTGCCTGCGAGTCCAAGCCAGCCTCCACGTCCATGCGCTGCCAGTCCTCGCTGTTCTGGGGCTGAGGAAGAGGAGGAGGAGCGGGTGTTACTCTTTCAATCTTTCTTTTCTCTTTCTTTCTCTTTCTTTCTCGCGCTTTCTTTCTCTTTCTCTGGCTTTCGTTCAATATTTTTCCGCTTTTTTCTCTTTCTCTCTTTCTTCTTCTCCCGCTTTCGCTCTATATATTTTCGGATTTCTCTCATTCCATCTCATTTATCAATTCGATTAACTCGCGGACTCACTGCTCTGATTAATCACGCATGCCTGGCACCCACACCCACACACACACACACACACACACACACACACACACACACACACACACACACACACACACACACACACACACACACACACACACACACACACACACACATTTATACAAAAAAAAAAGTAATCACATGATTTTTCATTTATCTTTCTTTATTCACATCCTCAATCAAAGATACTTACTTTATACATCTGCTTACTCTTCATAACTGGCGTACTGATTTATCTGTTTTTTTTCTTAATTTCATCACAATCATCTTTGTATTTCTCGTCTGTCTCTCTCTCTCTCCTCTCTCTCTCTCTCTCTCTCTCTCTCTCTCTCTCTCTCTCTCTCTCTCTCTCTCTCTCTCTCTCTCTCTCTCTCTCTCCACTTTCTCTCTCTTTCTCACCACTTTCTCTCTCTTCTCACTCACTTTTCTCTCTTTCTCACTCACTTTCTCTCTCTCTCTCTCACTTACTCTCTCTCTCTCACTTACTCTCTCACTCTTTCATTTACTCTCTCTCACTCTTCATTTACCTCTCCTCAACCCTCTCATTTACTCTCTCACTCTTTCATTTACTTTCTCACTCTTTCATTTTCTCTCACCTCTCATACTCTTCTTTCATTTACTCTACTCACTCACTCACTCTCACTACCTTATCTTACTCAACTAATCACACCATGCACTCAACTCACTCTCTCTCTCGTTTCCCCTCCCTCCCTCCTCCTCTCTCTCTCTCTCTCTCTCTCTCTCTCCATCTCTCTCTCTCGTCCTCTCTCTCCCCTCTCTCTCTCCCTTTTTCTTATGCTTTCTCTCCTCTTTTCTTCCCGCTCTCCTTCTTCTTTCCCCACCCTTACTCTTTCTTTTCCCCCCTTTTTTTTTCTTTCTTCCTTTCCTTTCTCCTTCTATTCCTTCTTTCTTTCCCCCTTATGTTCTTTTCCCTAATCTCCCTCTTCTTTTTCTCCCTTCCCCCTCCCTCCCTCCCTCCCTCCCCCCCTCTTTCTCTCCTTCTCTCCCCCTCTCCTTTCCCTCCCCTCTCTCTCCCTCCCTCCCTTCTTCTTCTCCCCTCCCTCTCTCTCTCTCCTCTCCTCTCTCTCCCTCTCTCTCTCTCTCTCTCTCTCTCTCCCTCCCTCCCTCCTCCCTCCCTCCCTCCCTCCCTCCCTCCCCCCTCCTCCCTCCCTCCCTCCCTCCCTCCTCCTCCCTCCCTCCCCTCCCCCTCCCTCTCAAAAGACAAACCACAGTCGAATCCCCTCCCCCCCCCAAAATCCTACGACAATCCTCCATACCTTTAGTAAGACTCTCGCCGCCTTGTCGACGAAGCAGCACCGTCGAGAGTTTATGTGGTGACGCCCAATCTACCTTTGAGCCGCCACGCTTCATTCCTGCTCAAGAGTATCCTTATTGGGAGGGATGTGCGTGGGAGAAGGTTGGGTGGGCGCTAAGGCTGGCTGTAGGTGGCGGTAAGGGTAAGCTTGCTCCTTACTAATGTTGGGGTAAGGTAAGGTATAGAGGCGGGTCGTAAGGTAAGGCCGTAGAGGTTGGGAAAGAGGTGTTTAGGCTTCGTTATGTCTAACGGGATCAGGGTAAGTTGTGTTGATGTAGAAAGCAGGGTAGGTGTGTAAGGTAAGGGCTTGGCAGGTAGGAGTAGGTGGTAAGATAAGGGTTGACATGCGTAGCAGTATAGAGGTAAGGGTGGGTTGATACAGGGCTTGGGGTAGGGTATGAGTAAGCATAAGGGTTGGCCGGGTTGTAAGTTAAGGGGATTGGGTACGTAAAGTAAGTTGAGGTAATTGGGAGGAAGTAAGGAGGGTATAGGTAGACTATCGAACGAGTAGGTGGTAGGAAATAAGAAAATAAAAATTAGAATTACATTACTGCGAGGTTTATCACATGTTTTTTATACATAATTTATCATACATTCGTACGAGCTAATAACTGGGTTCTCTAACGATTGAGTATTATATCATCATATAGATTTTTCTATGAGAGTGACATTGGTATCAAATTATATCTTTTTTTTTTAATATAAATAATAAATTCAATCTCAAAAAATTCTAATAATAAGGCTACTCAATTAACCAAATCTTCAAGCATACTACAGACAAATCCATCCCAGATTTTAATAAAATAATAAAAAAAAAATCAAGACAATAACAAGAAATAACAGCACAAAAAAAATCAATAAATAATAAAAAAATAATAAAAAAAATCAAGACAATAACAAGAAATAACACCAAAAAAAGAAAAAAAAAAATCTAAAACTCCACCCGGATTTACAACCGAACTCGACCTGGATTTACTTACCTTCTCCTTGAGCCCAACAGCTTCCTCGGCGACGGTCTCTGTGACGTTCGCATCTTCTGTGGCCGAAAACAAAGGAATGGGTCAGCATCTTCAAAACAGAAATGCATAAGATCGAGGTGTTTTAAGTCCTTAAAAAAAAAATAAAATAAAAAGCTGGGGGGGGGGATAGCCAACAGAAGAGAATATGTGGAGATATATGTGATTTTCAGATTAAATTTCTTTAAAAAAAAGTTAAAAGCGAGGCGTGACTGAACTGCGGATTGTGTGGAGATTGTAAACTAAAAAAAAAATACTTGGGCAAATGAAAGAGAAAAGAGGTAAGGAATGAATACACAGAGAGAGAGAGAAGAGAGAGAGATGAGAGAGAGAGAAGATGAGAGAGAGAGAGAGAAGAGGAGAGAGAGAGAGAAGAGAGAGAGAGAGAGGGGGGGGGGAGGAAGGGGGATGAAGAAGAGAAATGGAAGAAGGAGGGGAAAGAGAGAGAGAATGGAGGGGGAAGATGACGGAAGGAAGTGAGAAGAAAGTAAGAAAGGAGAAGAGAGAGAGAAGAGAGAAAGGAGAGAAAAGGGGAGGACGGGGGGAGAGAGAAGAAAGAAAAAAAGAATCCTCTCGTGGTAATTCTGTTTTGACAAGACCCGTGAACCTCCTTCGTGTAAGATTTCCAAGATAAAGGAAGTCGAGAGAAGATAAGCCATATTGTCTGATTCCAAGAGTGGTCTCGAGAGCCAGTGAAGCAAGAGGGTTAAATGCCATGTTTTGACAGAAAAAAAGAATCGAATCGTGTCAAGCTTGAGATAAACTGTGATAAGCAAGGCTCATTACTTTACGTATGTGCGTGTGGGAAGTTTCGTGACTGAGTGAATCAAGATAATTGCCCGACTAGCTACAGCTCTAGCGATCATAGGTGTGCAGGTGCAGCATGCCTGGGCCTGTTAATGATGGGAACAAGTTATCTTATCTCGTGAAATCCCGAGATAACAATGTGGGATCTCTGAAGCATTAACCCTTCTGGTCAGACACGAGGTCGTCACGCCCCGGATGCGGTCGTTGGTTATTTGTCGTGTGGGTTTTGGTGCGGATGGTGTCCAGCCCAGACTCGCACATCCTTCGTGCCCTTACCTGGAGCTTTTTTGGCTTCCCTGAAGGACACGGGGACTTCCTCGCCTTCTGCCGGAGCTGGGGTGGTCGTCGCGACTTCCTCTGCAGCTTCCGTCGTTAGGCCTTCCTGCTCTTCCGCTGTCGCTGCTGGCGAGGCGCTTGCTTCCTCTTCCTCCGCAGGTGTTCCTTCTTCCTTTTCATCAGCTGGCGTTGCTTCCTCCTTATCTGCAGGTGTTGATTCCTCCTTCATATCATGTGCTGCTTCTTCCTTCTTATCAGCAGGCATCTCCTCCATGACAGACGTCTCCGTTGTAGTTCCCTCTTCGACAGGCACCGCCGGTGTGGGAGCGTCTTCCCCTTCGGCGAGCACGGCTGACGTCACCGCCTCCTCCTCTTTTGCTGCCATTACCGAGCTAACTGTTTCGTCTCCCACAGACTCCTCTGGCGCAGGTCCTTCGTCCTCCGTCGGTGCCATAGTCGTGGCCTCCTCCTCCGCGGCGGCCAAGGTGACGACGTCGACGGCCTCCTGAACTGTGATGCGGTGAATCTCCTCGCCGTGGTGATCGATCTCGACGATGACCGCCGGCTCCCCCTTCTCGTCGGGCGTCTCGGGGATCGTGGTCGTGACTTCGGCGAGGGATTCGTCGTCCTGCGGGACTTCTTCCGTCACGTCGACCATCGACTCGACACCCTCGACGGCGGTAGCATTAGAGGAATCATCTGATGAGGAACTGGCAAGGTCTTCGACCGCTGGTTTCTCCGTCGGTTTCGTGAAAGGCGTTTTCTTCTTGCTGTTTTTGTTGAGTTCATGCTCGAGGTCCTTGAGTCTCCTCTGGTACTCCTCTTCGGTGATTGGTTCCGCGAGGTCCTCGCCCCCGGCCGTGCGCCCCGAGAGCGCGCGGACGGCCTGGCCGAGCGGCTGCTCCTCCTCCGCGGCGGGCGCCAGAGGGCTGCTGGCCGGCGACGTGAGCAGGGACGGCCTCGTGAGGCTGTTCACGCACGCCACCACCACGCAGCACTCGTCGGTGTCGGGCCGGTTCCTGAGTTCGATGCAGAGCTCCTCCTGGGAGTGCTGGCCCGCGGGGAAGAGCCCGGGCGCGCACGCGACGGGACCGCAGCTGAACTTACCGTCCGCGCCGCAGCGGCACTGCTCCTCGCACTTGCCGAGGTAGCGGGTCTCCCCCACGGCGTACAAGCGGCCGTCGTGCTCACAGCCTGCAGAACACCGCGCTAAGTGCGTGTCCATTGCCAGAACCTCCTCCAAAGAGGAAGCGCTTGCAATTTACTTCACAAATGACGTTACAAGTATTATTTGCCACCAGAATTTATCATGACAAATCGTTAGCCGTAAATATGTTAATCCATTATTCGTAAAGCAGTGAGTGAAAAAAACGGGATATATATTAACAATGTTATCCAAAGTAAATCATTGGTATTAGATATTGGCTAATACTGGCAGCTTAAGTGCTGGTTAAATCTTCCAGTTAAGTTTGCTAATTAAAATGACAAGTTGGACCTGAAAACAATGAACATTTCCATCGCCAATCACATGCGGATTCCAGGTGTGCTAATTAGGTCCTTGCCGTCTAGTGGTAAGTCTCCGGTGCTCTGACTGCTAGTAAACTGTGTCAGCTCTAACCTTCTAGAAGTGCATTATGCTTCTAGGTTTTATAAAAACAGTCTGCACTGAAGCTCAGATCTACCATTACATCGTAGACTAGAGTGGATATCTATTGTAAATGAAGCATTATGTCTGCAGTCCCGTTTCTTAAATCTAATGTATTTTCCCCTATACCTGGTATTGAGCACATTGTGTTCACAGACATCTCATCTCATTTGAGTGACATAATCATAAGCTTCTAGCTGTTTCTACAAGTGCTTAATACACAGGCATAAGGTAACAGTAGTGGTATACAGTGGTACTGTCATGTGTACAGTTGGGTATGTACTTCAGCAAAAACTAGACACTCTGTACCTCAATAATACACTAACAAGAGAACAGTACACTTATACAACACTAAGTACCAATAAGGTCAAACATACAGCAAGTCTTTTACTACAAATACAATGTACTTTCGCAGCAATACATGTCAGCGCAGTACACTCATACAACTTATCCTAAATTACAGTACATTCGCGCTATAGCGTTTCATTACATTACAGTACAATACAGCCATACAGCATACACTACATTACGGTACATTCTCACTACAGCGTTCCATTACATTACAGTACAGACATACAGCCTACACTACGAGACAGTACATACTTCACTACATTACAGAGTCATAGCAAACGCATACAATTTCATTAAAAAAAAAAAAAAAAAACTACAGAGTACGCGCCTTAACAAAATATTTACGAAGTCACAACGGATGTCTACTCGCCTGACGTCCCAGTACTGACATACACCGTCGGGTTTAACAGTGAGGGTATTCCCGGAGACATGCTCGTGTAGAAGTACGTGGTGTTACGGGGTTGTGTTGTGGGGGGGGGTTGGCTTTGGTGGTGACGGTGTGGTGAGGAGGTTTGGTGGCGTTGGTGGTGACGGTGTGGTGAAGGGTGTGGTGGTGTGTGTGACGTGTGTGGGAGTGGTGGTGGTGGTCGTGGTGCGTGGGTGAGAATGAGCTAAAGAAATGCGATTTAGCCAGAGTGCGTTCGCGGGTGAGTGCGTGAGGGAGGGAGGGGGGTGGAGGGTGTGGAGGAGAGGAGGAGATATCATGCGAAGTGAAGCGAAATGTGCGGAATCGAACGAGAGATGCAAAGAGTACTTCGAATCAGGTTCTGAGAGAGAGAGAGAGAGAGAGAGAGAGAGAGAAGGAGAGAGAGAGAGAGAGAGAGAGAGAGAGAGAGAGAGGAGAGGGAGAGAGGAGAGGAGAAGGAGAGAGGAGAGGACGAGAGAGAGGAGAGAGAGAGAGAAGAGAGAGAAGAGAGAGAGAGAGAGAGAGAGAGAGAGAGAGAGAGAAGAGACGAGAGATGAGAGAGAGAGAGAGAGAGAGAGAGAGAGAGAGAGAGAGAGAGAGATAGACAGATGCCAGTGAAATGTCTAAAATATGGAAAGCAGACTGGATGGAAAACAGAAAACGAGAGAGATCGGACAGAGGAAGTATAACAGGCGTAACTTAATAAATTAGGGGGAGAATAAAAATATTCAAGCAAGCTTACTTAACTCAACTGTGCAATGCAAAACAGCGTGCAATACTCTACAAGAAGCGGGTCAATATGCAAGTTGCAGCAACACTTAACATGCAAATAAACAACAACAAAAAAGACTATATATATAAAACTAAAAAAACAAACAAGAAACAACATGGCATAAAATTTATTACCGACTCCCGTGCTTCTTAATTTCATACCTAGGAAGCACCTTTTACCCCACCCTTATTTTAGGCCCTACATGCAATAGTTAACAAAATTTTAAAAATTGCATCTTATAATGGTTCACTTTTTAAGCTTGAAAACCTACATTCATCCTTACTGACACTTTACTTAATATCTTCCATTTATTTCCCGCTATGCAAGGATCTGTCCCATTAAATTAATATAAAATATCCTTCCTTTGAAATACCTTCATTGTTTTAATTATCTTTTGGTTATGCCTCCCTCTCCTCCTTTCCCTTCGTTTATTCCCTTCCCCTATCCACTCTCCCCTTCGTCCTTTCGCCTCCTCATTTCCCTTTTCTTCCTCCTTCCTTTCCTCCCACATCTAACCCATCTATCTTCACCTCCACCTTCTCTTCCTCCTCCCTTTCCTTCCCCTGTTCCTCTCCCCATCGCCTCCCCCATTCCTTCTCCACCTTCCCCTTCCTCTCCTTTTCTCTCCTTCCCCAGTCCCTCCCCTTATCAACTTCCCCAATCCCTCTCATTCTACCCTTCCCCAGTCCCTATCCTTCCCTTCCCCAAGTCCCTCCCCTTTCTTATCCTCCCAATCCCTCTCCTTCCCTCCTTCCCCAATCCCTCTCCTTACCTCCTTCCCCAGTCCCTCTTCCCCTTCTTCCCTTTCCCATTGCCTAAAAAAAAACTTATGGAGCTTCCTAGCCCTTCCGCGTCCGCCCATCTCTGTTTCGATCATCCGTGGGTCACGCCCTCCGCCTCCCCTGTCTACTACCACCCCCCCCCACGCCCATGTCTAGAGTTCCTTCACACTACCGAGTGTACTGGCAAGTCTCTATTCCCCTTTCGTTTCTCCTTTTTTCTATTTCTATCTGTCTCCCTGTTCCCCTTTTCGCCTCACCACGCGCCCATTCACCTTTATCTATCGAGCCACGCCTTCCCACCTACATTAACATACTTTCTCTTCCCGTGTGTTCTCTCATCTTCCTGTCTCTTCCCTTTTTTCTTATCTTCCCTTCCCTTCACCCTTTTCGTTTCCCCTTCTTTCTACAACCCTTGTTTTTCCTTTCTCTTACTTTCTGTCCCTTCCCTCCTTCATTCGACCCCCTTCTTTCCTTCCCCTTCCCCTCCCGCCCTTTCCCATTCTTACCCCTGTCCTCTTTCCCCTTCCCTCTCTTTCCCATTCTTACCCCGTCCTCTTTCCCCTTCCTCTCTTTCCCCTTTTCTTCCCCTGTCATCTTCTTCCCCTTCCCTCTCTTTCCCTTTCTTACCCCTCTTCTTCCCCCTCCCTCTCTTCCCCTTCTCACCCCTGCCCTCTCCTCCCCTCCCTCCCTCTGCCGTCCTTTCCCCTCCTCCCCTCCTCCCTCCTCCTCTCCTCTCCTCCCTCCCTCCTCCTCCTCCCCCTCCTCCCTCTCCTCCCCTCTCCCCTCCTCCCTCTCCCCTCTCCTCCTCTCCTCCCCCTCCTCCCCCTCCTCCCTCCCTCCTCCCTCCTCCCTCCCCTCCCCCTCACACTGTCTCGCGGTGCCATTGGCGGCGATGCAGACGTCGCCGGCGGAGTTGGCGATGGTTCCCTCCGGACACTCGCACACGGGTCGGTGCTCCTTGGAGACGCAGCGGCCGCCCCTGAGCGACCCCTGGCACGGCGTGAGGATCGGGCAGGGGTCCACGCAGACGCCCCCCAGGCAGAACCTATCCTGGGGACACTCGCCGTCGGACGCGCAGGAAAACTCGGCTGCAAGGGGAGGCAAGCGAAACATGTTAGGAACGTGTGCGGGGAATTGAAGCTGAATTATTACGAATTAGAGCATGGCGTATCATCTGAATGCACTGAGAGATTTACATCCGTAAATCTCTCGTTATAAGTTTTGATGGAGAAATTTATAATACATACATATCACCAGTTTCTATTTTTTCTAGAATTAGATATACAAACTCATAACACACACACACACACACACACACACACACACACACACACACACCAAAACAAACAATACACAATACCAATCACCAAACCAAACGAAACAAAAATCAAACATACCCTTTACAAAAAAAAAAACAAAACACCAGGCCGCGCTTGAAAAAGCCACATACCACGCACGCGTACACATTCCCCCCCCCCCCCGTGTTTACACATGAACGCAACTCGCCTCTTGATAACCGAACGCACCTGAACCGGGGACCTACGCACGTGTAACCGTGTTTACGCTTTCACGCGATCGGGAAGAGGCCCTTTGGCTTTATATTCCGATCTCTCCGGCTTCCATTATCAAAAATAAAATAAAAAAAAAATATGGTTTCGAGGGCATTCGTTGATCGCCTTTCGACGTACTGTTCATCGTTCCAACTTCCTGTTCACTGTACTTACTGAACATTTTAACTCTCCTGCCAGAAATATATAAACGAGAGAATTTCATTACATTACCGTACAATACAGCCACACAACATACACTAAATTACGGTACATTCTCACTACAGCGTTCCACTACATTACAGCACAGTGCGGACATACAACCCACACTACGACACAGTACATCACTACATTACAGAGTCCAAGCAAACGAATAAAATTAGGAGAAGCGCCGATAAAAGAAACCACACGTGTAAAAAGGATAAAAATAAACACAAATTCACGCGACATAGTACATCACTACATTACAGAGTCCAAGCAAACGAATAAAATTAGGAGAAGCGCCAATAAAAGAAACCACACGTATAAGAAGGATAAAAATAAACACAAATTCACGCGACATAGTACATCATTACATTACAGAGTCCAAGCAAACGAATAAAATTAGGAGAAGCGCCAATAAAAGAAACCACACGTATAAAAAGGATAAAAATAAACACAAATTCGCGCCCCAGGAAGGCCCCTGGAGAAGAGTCCTCACCGCGGCAGAGTCAGCGGAGCGGAGTTCCTGTCTCGCCAGAGGGACTCTTCTGCGTCTGACATGGAGAGTTTTTTCTTTTCTTTTTACACAC